GGGGAGTCTTGGGGATGGAGAAGGCGCACTCTGAGAGGGAGGGAGACCCTTGGGGGTCATAGGGGAAAAGACTGGATGAGCAGAACGGGGGGGGGGCTTCAGGAGGAGGACGGGTCCCCAAATGAGGGGGGGGGCTCGGGGATGGAACTGGGCAGCTGCCCTCCCCCTCCTCCCTCGGAAGGGGGCAGAGCCTTGGGATCATGTGGGAGGGGGCTCGAGGCGAGGGGGTCCTCAAAAGAAGGGAGGCCACAGGGGGGGTCTTGGCTGATGGAGCTGGACAGCTGCCCCCCCCCTTTGGGAGGAAAGAGGATACCCCTCCTCTTATTCTCCTCCCTTCCCCCAGCCCCCCAACCCCCCCCATTTCTTCCCAACACCTGTCCTTTCCCTTTCCCACTTGTCGCTCTCTTCAGACTGCAAAAGGGGGGGGGCAAAAAAAGAGACCACTAGGGACCCCCACTCAGAAAACACTCCCAGGACCCAGGCTGGCTTTCTGAGACCCCCCCCCCCGACCCAGACTGGGGGTTTTCAGAAAGCTTGACCCGCCTCCCCAGAATTCCCCAGAACTGCCTTTTAGCAGGAATCCGATGGGTCTCAGTTTCTCCCTGAGCCCCATTTGCGGGTACCGAGTGCGAATCACACTTTTTAAAAGATTTTATTTTAAGAGACTGGTCTGAGACGGTAAAGGCCCTCCTGCTGGAGCAGGGGGCTGGACTAGAAGACCTCCGAGGCCCCTTCCGGCTTCTATTCCGTTCTGTTCTGTTCCCGTTTCCCTCAGGTCAACTCCTGGAGCGGCTCCCTGGAGATCGGGGTGACCGCCCTGGACCCCAACCACCTGGACTTCCCCAGCAGTGCCACCGGCCTCAAGGGGGGCTCCTGGATCATTTCCGGCTGCTCCGTCCTGCGCGACGGACGCTCCATCCTGGAGGAATACGGGCAGGACTTGGACCAGCTGGGCGAAGGCGACCGGGTGGGCGTCCAGCGGACGGACGGCGGGGAGCTGCGCCTCTGGGTCAACGGGCAGGACTGCGGCGTGGCGGCCACCGGCATCCCTCCCCGGGTCTGGGCCGTGGTCGACCTCTACGGCAAGTGCACCCAGATCACGGTGGTGCCGGGAAGCCCGGCGGAGGAGGAGGCGGAAGAGGGAGCCTCCCACGATGAAGGTACCCCCCCCCCAAAACGGAGAATTGTTGGGGCAGACAGAAAGATAACCAGGGCAGGTTTAGCACCAGGGGTGGGTGATGGAATACAGAATAAGAGAGTTGCGTTGCTTTTCAAATATTCAAATGTAAAAATTAGAAAACCAATAAAATTTTCTTTAAAAACAAAAGAAGAACAACAGAGTTGGAAGGGATCTCGGAGGTCTTCTAGTCTAACCCCCTGTCCAGGAAGGAGACCCTATTACCTTCCAACAGTGAGAACAATTAAGCAGTGCAACCACCTGCCTCCAGAAGCGGTGAATGCTCCAACACTAGAAGTTGCTAAGAAGAGACTGGACAGCCATTTGTCTGAAATGGTATGGAGTTTCCTGCCAGAGCTGAGGGTTGGACTAGATGACCTCCAAGGTCCCTTCCAACTTTATTATTATTATTATTATTATTATTATTATTATTATTATTATTAGGTATAGGGTTTCCTGCCTGAGCAGGGGGTTGGACTAGATGACCTCCAAGGTCCCTTCCAACTTTACTATTATTATTATTATTATTATTCATTAGACATGAACCTCAGTCAACTGAACATTCAAATTATTACTATTACTATTATTACTGCTACTGCTACTACTATTATTACTATTGCTATTATTATTATTATTATTATTATTATTATTATTATTATTATTATTTATTGGCTACCCCTGGGGGGCTTCCGGGCTGCAGGTGGCTGGGCACACTTTACATCTGAAGGGCAGGAATTGAAAGCGCCCAGCGGGCACCAAGGCAGGCTGAACCATCATCTCCTGCCTGGCACCCAAGAAGAAGTGGGCAATCCTTGTTAGCTGCCCCTTCAGAACCTTGAGCCATGATTCTTGGCCTGTTCCCAGCCATCGTGGCCTGTGTCTGCTCTCAGAAGCATGCCTGACAGCTTTTCCTTCCTCTCCTCCTCCTCTTCCTCCTCCTCCTCCTTCTCCTCCTCCTCCTCCTCCTCCTCCTCCTCCTCCTCCTCCTCCTCCTCCTCCTCCTCCTCCTCCTCCTCTTCGTCCTCTGGGTAGCCCTGGAAGCGCCTTGCAACCAGACCCGGCCGGATAAATTTCCCAACAGCCTGGAATCGGAGAACGGTGAGTTTTCTCTCTCCTGGGTGCAAAAGTCGAGTTCCTCTGGGGAAAATGTCATCATTTGTAGGTGGAAGCGGTGCGCCGGCTGTCTCCCCTGGCGATAGGAAGCGCTGGTTTTCGTTACTGTTTTTATATATATATATTTTCCCCGCCTTTATCTTATCAAGAACTCAAAGAAGCGAATGTAGCTACTACTGCTCCTTCCTGCTCCTTCCCCCCCCCCCCGCAACAACAACCCTGTGGGGTGGGGTGAACTGTGAGAGAGGGATTGCCCAAAGTTACCTAGATAGCTGTCACCTAGCTGGCTTTCAGGGCTAAGGCGGGACTAGAACTCGCCGTCTCCTGGTGATTGGTCCAAAGTCACCCAACTTGCTTTCATGGCTAAGGCAGGACTAGAACTCACCGTCTCCCGATGATTGGCCCAAAGTCACCTAGTTGCCTTTCATGGCTAAGGCGGGACTAGAACTCACCATCTCCTGGTTATTGTGCAAAGTCACCTAGCTGTCTTTCATGATAAGGTAGCACTAGAACTCACCGTCTCCCGGTGATTGGCCCAAAGTCACCCAGCTGCTTTTCATGGCTAAGGCAGGACTAGAACTCACCATCTCCTGGTGATTGGCTCAAAGTCACCCAGCTGGCATTCATGCTTAAGGCGGGACTAGAACTCCCCATCTCCCGGTGATTGGTCCAAAGTCACCTGGCTGCTTTCATGGCTAAGGCGGGACTAGAACTCCCCGTCTCCTGGTGATTGTCCCAAAGTCTCCTAGCTGCCTTTCATGCCTAAGGTGGGACTAGAACTCCCCGTCTCCTGGTGATTGGCCCAAAGTCACCCAGCTGCCTTTCATGGCTAAGGCGGGACTGGAACTCCCCGTCTCCTGGTGATTGGCCCAAAGTCACCCAGCTGCCTTTCATGGCTAAGGCGGGACTAGAATTCACCGTCTCCTGGTGATTGGCTGCTGGGGGTCTCAACTCCATGTGTTGACGTCCGACACAAACATACACCCCCTTGTAGGCTTCTCCAGCATGGAGCTGTCGGAGGTGGTGAGCAACGCCATCCTGTCGGCCTACAACGGCAGCCTGCTGAACGTCAACCTGGGCAGCCCCCCCTCCGACTCGGCCCCCGGCGGAGCCCCCCCCATGACCTCCAACGACGCCCTGCTCTTCCACGAGAAGTGCGGCACCCTGATCAAGCTGAGTAACAACAACAAGACGGCCGAGAGGCGCCGGCCGCTGGACGAGTTCAACAACGGGGTGGTCATGACCAACCGCCCGCTGCGGGACAACGAGATGTTTGAGGTAAGGGGGCTCCCGGGCCCCTCCCCCCCAGAAAAAACGAGGCCTCCCCAAATCTCCAGCAACCCCCCCAAAAAACGAAGGAGCCTTTTAGAGCATTTTTTTCTCAACCTGGGCAACTTTACGACCTCTGGACTTCAACTCCCAGAATTCCCCAGCCAGCTAAGCTTGTTTTCGTGCCTAAGGCGGGACTAGATCTCACCGTCTCCTGGTGATTGGCCCAAAGTCGCCCAGCTGGCTTTCCTGCTGAAGGTGGGACTAAAACTCAGTGTCTCCTGTGATTGGCCCAAATTCACTCAGCTGACTTTCCTGCCTAAGGTGGGACTAGAACTCAGCGCCGCCTGGTGATCGGCCCAAAGTCACCCAGACGGCTTTCCCACCTAAAGTGAGACTAGAACTCCCCGTCTCCTGGTTATTGACCCAAAGTCACCCAGCCTCCTTTCATGGCTAAGGTGGGACTAGAACTCACCGTCGCCTGGTGGTTGATCCAAAGTCACCCAGCCTCCTTTCATGCCTAAGGCAGGACTGGAACTCACCGCCTCCTGGTTGTTGACCCAAAGTCCCTTAGCTGACTTTCCTATCTAAGCCTGGACTAGAACTCACCGTCGCCTGGTGGTTGATCCAAAGTCACCCAGCCTCCTTTCATGCCTAAGGCAGGACTAGAACTCACCACCTCCTGGTTGTTGACCCAAAGTCCCTTAGCTGACTTTCTTGTGTAAGCCTGGACTAGAACTCACCGTCGCCTGGTGACTGACCCAAAATCAGCCAGTCAGCTTTCCTGGCTAAGGCGGGACTAGAACTCACCGCCTCCTGGTGATTGACGCAAAGTCACTCGGCCCGCTTTTTTGTCCCAAAGGCGGGACTAGAACTCCCCGGCACCTGCTTTCCAGCCTGCTGTCTTAACCACTAGACCCAGCTGGACTCAGCTGAGTAGAATCGGTGAATCGACAGCGAATCGAGCAAGGGGAATTCTGGGAGTTGAAGTCCACGACTCGCCAAGATGGAGAGAAAGGCCGTTTTAGAGGGAAAGGGAGCTTCCCGAAAAAAAAAACGGGGAGTTCCAAGCGCCGGTTTCCCTCCCCAGATCCGCATCGACAAGCTGGTGGACAAGTGGTCGGGCTCCATCGAAATCGGGGTCACCACCCACAACCCCAACAACCTGGAGTACCCCGCCACCATGACGAACCTGCGCTCAGGTGACTTCCCCACTCGTGCGTATCCAGGGCGGGCGAGGGGGATTCCTGACCACCTTTTGGGGGGGGCGGGGAGGGTCTGGGGGGGGTCTCCGTCGGGGAGAGGGCCCGGGGGAGGGGAGTCACAGCAGCCGGCCCTTGTCCCCGCTCAGTTCTTCTTGTCATGCTCCACTCAACCCACGAAGGCACCATCATGATGAGCGGCTGCGGCATCCTGACCAACGGCAAAGGGACACGGCGGGAATACTGCGAGTTCAGCCTGGATGAGTTGCAGGTGAGCGGAAAGGCCCTCTTCCCCTTCTCCTCTTCCCCTCCCCTTTTCGGACAACCCTCCCCCCCCCACACGCATTTCCCGCGCAGGAACACCCCACCCTGCTTTGTCTGCCTCCCGCAGGAAGGCGACCACATCGGCTTGACCCGGAAGTCGAGCAACGCTCTCCATTTTTACATCAACGGCATCGACCAAGGTGGGCACCGTCCTAGGGGGGGGAGCGTGTGTGTGTGAAACCCTGCGGGCCTTTTCGGGATTCACAGACCCGGGGAGAGGAGGAGGAGGGGGCGCTACGTTCCTCGACTTACGACGTTTCGGCCCCAAACCAGCCTCGGCTTCCCGTAGTCAAGAATTGACTTTAACTGTTGGGGAGTCCCGTGACCGGGCGGGTGTTCCCTCTCTTGACAGGCGTGGCCACCACCCTCACCCCCTTGGTGGTCTACGGCGTGGTGGACCTCTACGGCATGGCGGTGAAGGTCACCATCGTGCACAACCACAACCACAGCGACCGCCTGCGGCGCAACAACGCCATCATGCGGGCGCTCTCGCCCGACGTGGGCCGGCGGGCCATCGACGCCGGAGGGGGCACCGAGCCAGAACCGGAGCGTCTCCTCTTCCACCCAAACTGTGGCCAGAAGGCAGCCATCATCAACGAAGGACGGACGGCCCTGCGGCCTCAGTACGTACCTTTGTCCCTGGCTCTATTTCATCAGGATTTAATTATTAAATTTATGGGCCACCCCGCCTTGCTCAGTTGTAACCATGAGGACTAGGAAGATCCCAGCTGCTCCGCCTTCAGGAGGGTTGCCAAGCCGTAAAAAAGCACCCACAGCTGTGGCTAAGCAAGAAAGAACGGAAGGAAGCGAGAAGGGGACGGGGTTATGGTGGGGAAAGAATGTTGTGTGAACTAAATTGGTGTCTAAAGCACATTTGTGTCCAACCTTGGCACCTCTTAAGACTTGTGGACTTCAACTCCCAGAATTCCCCAGCCAGCAAGAGTTTACCGGAACTGATCCCGGAGGGGAGAAGTACAAATGTGGCTAGGCTCCTTACTGCACATTGTCGCGTTTTTTCGACAGGGTAACTGGCTTAATTCAGGTTGTCCTTGACCTACAACCACAATTTTGAGTCCAAAATTTCTGTTGTTAAGTGTTTTGGTCTCAACTGTGGCCGTAAATCAAGGATCACCTGTGGCTTCTCCGGTCCACCTGTTGGACCTTGTCTGGAGACGACCTGTAAAAGGAGAATTCTGCCCTTCCCTCCCTGTCCATCTAGTGCCACCGACGACTTTAACCACGGCGTGGTCCTCAGCAACCGACCGCTGCGGAACGGCGAGGTCTTCCAGGTGAGAATTGACAAGATGGTGGACAAGTGGGCCGGCTCCATCGAGATTGGCGTCACCACCCACAACCCCACCTACCTGCAGCTGCCCTCCACGATGACCAACCTGCGGTCAGGTGAGAACTAGGACCTCAATATCTTGGACGGGCGTGTCGAAGTTTGGCAACTTTTAAGACCTGTGGATTAATCTTAATTAATTAATTAACCTTAAATATTCAGACCCCCTCGGAGCAGAGTTTAGAGTTAGCTTACATGAAAGGGGCTAAAATTTTGGCCAAACCAACATTCAGGGCTTCCTGCCTGGAAATAGAAGTGGCTTACATCCTCTGTTTTTTTTTCACCTGATCTCAGAGAGGGATTAACCACGATATGGGAGAGGAGTCAAGCAGGGAAATAGTCTGGAATCTCTACATAGCTGCAAGAGAGCTAGGTCTGATCCCCCTTGAGTGAATTGAATCCAGGTTAGGCAACTTTAAGACCTGTGGACTTCAACTCCCAGAATTCCCCAGCCAGCCATGATGTCCCTTGGACATCCCCTTTCAGCTGCTGATTTTTCTAGACTAAAGAAAAAATGAGTTCATTTCAGAGGTGTTGCCCAAACCCCATAATTCTTTGGGCTTTTGTATGACACTGCTAAAATGCTCTTTACAAAAGGGGTCACCAGAATCTGTACCTGATATTCTGCTGGGTCCCATCATCTGGAACCAATCAAGTGCCTTCACTGACTGTGTGGTTGTTACCACAGGGTGGGGAGGTTTTGACAGTAGAGATTAAACTGCAGTTTTTTAACTCTGGGTTTTTAATATAGTACACCACCTGGAGTCACTGTGTGTGAATTGGACAGGTATATAAATCTGTTTAATAATAATAATATACCAGCTTTTTGGGAAGGACTCGATAGGTGAATAAAAATGCCAAATCCAATCTGGACACCTGACTGGCTGTGCAACCAGCCATAATAAAACCAAAACATCTGGACCACCACTTGAACACCATTGGCATTGACAAAATCTCATTGGTCAGTTGCAAAAGGCAGCTTGACTCAGAATGGCATTGACAAAATCCCATCGGTCAATTGCAAAGGGCAGTTTCACTTAGAGTAGTATTGACAGAATCCCTCTCTGTCAATTGCAAAGGGCAGCTTGACTCAGAGTGGCATTGACAGAATCCCTCTCTGTCAATTGCAAAGGGCAGCTTGACTTAGAGCGATATTGACAGATCCTTCTCTGTCAATTGCAAAGGGCAGTTTAACTCAGAGTGGCATTGACAACCTTCCTGTCTGTCAATTGCAAAGGACAGTTTGACTCAGAGTGGCATTGACCAACTCCCTGTCAGTTGCAGAAGGCCATTGTAATCAGGGCGGCATTGACAGAATCCCCATCGGTCAATTGCAAAAGGCAGCTATGCTTGGAACCGCCTCCATCCTACCAGGAGACCTTTAACCCCACCGAACATCCACATCTGCCTCTCCCAGGTCATTGGGAAGAACTCCAGAGGTAGATTGAAATGCCAAATCCAGTCAAAAACATATGGCAGCCTGTGCAACGAACTGGAATAATAATCATCATCGTCCCCGATAACATTTTTTATTCTTTTTCCTGCCGCTTTCCTTCATTCCTTGACGACCCTCCGTGGTCGCCAACGTTTGATGGGTGGGGAGTAAACCTGAACAGCCAGCTTGAGAGAGGAAGGAACAACTGGGTGGTCTTGCAAAAAGCTGTTCTGCTCCCTCGCCTGGCTGATGTGGGGTTGGTGCCCCTCCATGCCGTTCTCTTGCAGGGACCTGGATGATGACCGGGAACGGAGTGATGCATAACGGTACGACCATCCTGGATGAATACGGCCACAACCTGGATCGCTTGAAGGCAAGCGCAGAGAGGGGCAAAAAAGTTGGTGGGGGGCAGAGGAGAGGGAAACGTGGGGTGGCATTGAATGCAGGATCATAGGACTGTCTTCCAGGAAGAGCTTACGACCTCCCATTTACTGACCAAAGTTACAAAGCCGCTGAAAAAAGTGACCTTCTGACTTTTTCCCACTCAACAACTGTCGCAGCATCCCCACGGTCAACAAAATTGGCGAATGGCTCATATTTACGATGGTGTTGCCCTATCCCGGGGTCGTGTGATCTCATTTTGCGACCTTCCGATAAAGCAAAGTCCATGGGGAAGCCAGATTCATTTAACAACCGTGTTACCCACTTAGCAACCGCAGTGATTCACTTAACAACTGCGGCAAGAGAGGTCATAAAATGGGGCAAGACTCACGACCAATTTCTCATTCAAGAACATAAATTCTGGACTGAACTGTGTCGTAAGTTGAGGACTGCCCCTATTCTGGCCCAGGCTCAAATTGCTAGTCTAAGAAGATTCCTGCGAAAGAGGCATTAAGCAATAAAATAGCCAATCGAACTCTTCGCCTCTGGATCTGCCCTCTCTCAGGCTGTTCCCCTCTCCTCCTCCCCTCCCCAGGCAGGCGACACGGTGGGCGTCGTACGGAAGGAGGACGGAACCCTGCATTTCTTTGTCAACGGCGTGGCGCAGGGCCCAGCCGCCTGGAACGTCCCGCCGAATATCTACGCCGTGGCCGATCTCTACGGTCAAGCTGCCCAAGCCACGATCATGGATGACACAGGTAACAGACACGGAGACCACGTGGGACCGGAGTGGGCTAGGGAAAGGGGTTGAGACAGGAACAAGGAACGTGGCTTATTTTGAAACCCAGGAGGTCAGGAAAGGTCAGAAGTTGGTTTACGAGTCAAGAAGGAGAAATTTCCCGACAGTGAGAACAATTAATCAGTGGAACAGCTTGCCACCAGAAGTTGTGGGTGCCTCATCACTGGAGGCTTTTAAGAAGAGACTGGACAACCACTTGTCTGAAATGGTATAGGCCTATACCATTTCAGACAAATGGCTGTCCAGTCTCTTCTTAAAATTAACTATTTAAATATTTACTAACTCCACCAGGTTCTCTCGCTGTTCTGTTTCTCACAGGCCAGCTTTTGAGTTGAGCAGTGCGCCCGTTGACTCTCGGCTGGGTTCAGGGTGACCTTCGGATGTGTGTGTGTGTGTGTGTGAATGGGGTGGTCTTTAAGAGGGGGACTCTTAAAGAGTGGAGGGTGATGCCCTACTTGCGTCCTCCCAGATCTCCTTCCGCTTCCCGACGATCTCTCGGAGGGAAACAACCAGCTGTCCCCTAGCAGCCCGTCCTCCGTGGCTTCGGGCAGCGACCTGCGTTTCCACCACCTCCACGGGAACAACGCCGTCATCACCAACGGGGGGCGCACGGCTTTGCGCCAGAACTGCCGCAGCGAATTCAACGATGCCATCGTCATCTCCAACCGGTCAGTGAACGGGGGGGAGGGGACACGCGGTGACGGACGAAGGGTCGAGGCTTTCCGAAAGGGATCGATTTACGACCCACCATTCAGCCCGAAATTTAGCGGGACGGTTGTTAAGCGAGTTTTGTCCCCCGCTTTACGACCTTTCTCGACGCGGCAAAGTCCAGCGAATCGCTGCAGCTGTTGAGTAAGTCCCAGGGTGGTTCGGGGACTCCGGTTTCCCCCCCATTGACTTTGCTCGTCAGAAAGGGATCGCATCACACACACACACACACACACACACACACACACAGCCTGGGGACACGGCGCCCGTCGTAAATAGGAGTCGGTTGCCAAGCTTCTGAACTTTGATGGTGGGACCACGGGGGGTCATAAGGGTGAAAAGCGGTCCCCAGTCACTTTTTTCAGCGCTGTTCTAACTTCAGCCCGTCGCTAAATGGACAGTTGTAAGGCGAGGGGTGGCTGCGTTGGAATGCCCAAGCTTTGAATGAGAGGAAGTGTCATAGAGGTGTCTGTGGCTTCAGAGGAAGGTGGGGAAGAGCAGGCCGAGGCAGGCCCGGGCCCTTCAGGAGTGGGACAGGAGGAACAGGAGAGGCAGAGTTCAGGCGATGAATAAGGGCCACCCCCTCCTGATCTTAGAGCACGGAGAGTGGAGAGAAGGAGGGAACAACGCAGGCAGGCTCAACTACTCGGGAGGAGAGCGTCCCGCCCCTCTCCACAAGGCCCACCTGGAGACTGAAATTTAAGGAGACGCTGTGGGGAGAGGCATTTGTCGGGAACAAATGCTGATTCATTGGAGTTTTGTGTGTGTGTGTTGTTGCTGATCTCTTGTTCTGTGACTTCTGCTTGGAAACCCGGAAACTCTGACCATTGGACTGGCTGACCACATTGCTTGGATGTTTAAAGATCTCGGACGGTATTTGGGCATCCCTTTTGAAACTGCGCAGGCACAGACTCGTTGGGTTTATGGTGTATGTGTCATTCCTTGTTATCTCCGTGGCCTTGAGTAAATTCCTCTCCTAATCAGACTGTGTGTGAAACTACTTGCAGCCAGAGGCGGCTGAAGGGGTGTGTGTGTCTTCCTGTGTTTGGAGGCTGGCCAGAAACGTGGGAGCATTTGGGGGGAATTTGGAGCAATTAAAGGGTGGTTTGGATTGCCAGCTGACTGCATTGCCTGGGTGCTGTGCCCTGGAAGGAACAGGCGGTGATCAATTCAACGACCGTAACCGAGGCCAGGATTACAGTCGTTGAGACGGCTTTCATCGCAATCTTTGATTCCACAGCCCCCTACGCGACGGCGAACTCTTTGAGATCGTCATCCAGAAGATGGTGGATCGGTGGTCTGGCTCCATCGAAGCAGGTGAGGAAGGGGTGAAAGAAATTTGGGGGGTGGGAAACGGAGGCGCAGAGGGACGGCCCTCCGTAGTGCTTTTGGTGTTCTCCTTCCGTGTAGGAGTCACCGCCATCCGTCCAGAGGACCTGGAGTTTCCCAATACAATGACGGACATTGACTACGATACCTGGATGCTCAGGTAAGTACGGGGCGGGGGGGTTGTCAAAGAGCTGATCGGATAAGGAGACCAAATTTGGTCTAGTGGGGAAGGTTGCAGGCTAGAAAACCGGAGACGGGGAGTTGTAGTCCCGCTGTAGGTCTTCAAGTCAGCTGGGTGACTTTGGGCCAATCCCCAGGAGACGGTGAGTTCTAGTGATGCCGCGGAAGTGATGTCCCGGTGCCTGGAGGCCGTGCAAGTCTGGATGGGGAGGAACAGGCTTCGACTCAACCCGTCCAAGACCGAGTGGCTGTGGTTTCCGGCGTCACGACATAGCCAGTTGGCTCCATCTCTGGCTATCGGGGGCGAGTCATTAGCCCCCGCGGAGAGGGCCCGCAACCTGGGCGTCCGCCTGGATGCTCGGCTGTCTTTAGACGATCATGTGACGGCCGTGGCCAGGGGGGCTTTTCATCAGGCTCGCCTGATACGCCAGTTACGCCCCTTTCTGGATCGTGACGCTCTACACACAGTCACTCAAGCCCTCGTTTTCCACCTGGACTATTGCAACGCTCTCTACATGGGGCTCCCCTTGAGGTGCACCTGGAGGCTCCAGCTAGTTCAGAATGCGGCCGCGCGGGGGATTTTGGGGGCCTCTAGATACTCCCATGTAGCACCTCTCCTGCGCGAGCTGCACTGGCTGCCGGTGGCCTTCCGGGTGCGCTTCAAGGTGTTAGTAACAACCTTTAAAGCGCTCCGTGGCAATGGACCTAGGTATTTGCAAGACCGCCTCCTACCACATACCTCCCTTCGACCAGTCCGCTCCCACAGAGAGGGCCTTCTTAGGGTACCGTCGGCCAGACAATGCCGGCTGGCGACCCCCAGGGGGAGAGCCTTCTCTGTGGCAGCTCCTGCCCTCTGGAATGACCTACCCCCCGACCTACGTACAGTTGCGGACCTGCGCCTCTTCCGCCGAGCCTTGAAAACCCATCTATTCCATGCGGCCGGCCTGGCGTAGTTTTGATTGGGTTTTGGTAGGGGTTTTTATAGGGGGTATTTTAGAGCAGGCTTTTTATTTAATATTTATTGTGATTTTTATTATCGCCTGTTCACCGCCCTGAGTCCCGTAAGGGAGATAGGGCGGTATATAAATTTAAATAATAAATAAATAAATAAATAGTCCTGCCTTAGGCATCAAGGGTGGCTAAGTGAGTTTGGGCCAATCACCAGGAGACGGTGAGTTCTA